ACTAAATAATTCTGTGAGAAGATACAGGCCACTGATTTTTTGCAATTTGCATCCCCATACTCTAAGCTATGTTGAAAGCAAAGCTTTTTGGTCCTCTTGCTTTGGGAGTACATTAATATTTCTATGACCTTTACTAGATGGCAGATGAGAAGCATTAGGAATAAAATAACAAATAAACCAAAGGAAACCAATTTTTTAAAATGCGTGTTTCTGAAAGGAGCAATGGGAAAAAGAGTCTAGTCTAAAAAATATGAACTTTAGCTAGAGTTATGATAATTGTTCTATTGTACCTATTTTTCCATGTCAAAATGCTTCTTTGCAATCAATCAACTCGACATAATGCAAAAATATATTTGAAAGGGTTTAGTAGCTGTGCATGCAAAAATATATGGATACTATTTGGAGCTATTTGGAAAGAAATAGTGTATTTTAAGACATGATTATTTAATGAGCACTTCAAAGTGATCATATTATAAGCATGGTCATTACACTAACAACTACTTCATACAAAATGGCATCAAATCATTTAACTTCCAAAGTCTGATTATTATAAAGAGAAATTCTGTAAAACAAGCTGCAAATGTAGTGACTTTGTGTGCAGTGTAAATCCTCTGCTTTAGAAGACTATACTTTCTGAAGGCTTTAGAAGACCGTAGGAGGAAAACCAACTAAATTCTACCCAGGAAGCCATTTCTCTCACAGCAGCACTGTTTTTCAGTGGTTTTACTACACACCGGAAGCCTACTCTGTTCCTGTTCATCTAGTTGTCGAGGTTATAACTCAAAGGAACAGATCCAAAAATCATTTTTAGCGACTTGAAATTTGACTGCTTTATGAACACCATGTCTAGATTAACAACATCTGTGATTCAGCAAGGCATTTAACAGATGGAAAGCAAAAGTTGTCCCATGAACTAAAGTATTTGTTCACTGGTTTCCAGCTGGAGGCAAAGCTGCAATTATTTAATAACAATTCATTAACCTTTTAACATACACTTTATATCATATGCCACAGTATCAAGTGAAAGGATATTCAAGGGAGGGGAAGAGGTGTGGATTATTTCTCCTTAGGATAGTGTGAAAGAGTCAGAACATTTTAAAATAGCAATAACCAGACCTTCATACCTTGAATCACATGTATCTAGAAGGGTTCAGATTAAACCAAGTGCTGCTAGTTACAGGATTGACATGATGGCAAGAATCCCCTTGTCTTTACTACCAATGCTCTTGCAGCCACTAGAATCAGGCTAGACCTTACATTGAATGTGTTGCATATCTATTTTTTATTACTTTTGTAAGTTCTTCTACAGGAAAATTTTCCCTCCTTGAGGTTTCAAGGAATACTACCCTATAATTTTAGGGATGAAATATAGTTTTATTATAATCATAAGAACTTATTAATGAAAAAAAAATAAAGTTTGAAAGCATGTTTGTTTTTGTTTTAGTTTATTTTAAGTAAAATGAGGGACTTCTTTATAGTTTGGATACAAGGATTTCCCCTCCATTTGCTCTTTAAGTTCTTGAGCTTGTTGCTCTTTGCTCAAGTTTTCAGAGAAACTGAAAGTGACTAGAAACTGATTTTGAAAATATCTTTTCTCCCCACTGTTTTGTTTTGTTTTTAAATAAATTTCCTCAGTTTGATCTATCTGTATAGAGAAGTCTAAATCATTCTTACTTTTTTTTTTTACAATTTTCATTTATCTAGAGAATTTCTAAGACACATCTTTCACTCATTAGATGTAGAGATTCTTGACCAATATGTAAAGTCAGAGGACACTACACAGAGTTATCCAGCTGAGAACCAACCTATTTTAAAAATAGCTTATCCTTAGATTTGTGCTTTAATTATGCCATGTGTAAAATGTTTTTATTCATAAAGCAACCAGTATGAACTTACTGAAGTGATGGTACCTGTCTTTGCAGTCAATGTCCTCAGCCCACTAATGGTGTAAAATATAATCAGTTTTCATCTGCTGGTTTGAATGGAATTAAAGTTTCTGTTCAAGATATAGCTGTGATACTGCATTGTATTGCACAAAGACAGTTTCTACACTTCTACCCAATGTCATATCACTCCCTTCGCACTGCAGAATTGGGACGCTGAAAGATTTAATTGGAATCCTTCTCGAGCATATAACAACATAGTCTTTGTAACGAGTAACAAATTTGCAAATATTTTTATATGGTACTCAATAATTCAATACAAATAATAAACCAAATTTGTAAAAAAGGCTATGTTTTCATCTTGAATATTCACTAACTTGTATACACGTGTAGCTCCAAATGGACAAACACAAAAGGCAAAGGCAGGTTGCAACCTTCCATTACCTGTACATATGCTTTAACTTAACATGTATACATGTAAGGTTTCAGCCTTGTGAAACAAGGCTGTGTTCTCGCTCCAACCTTGTTCATCTTTTTCAGCGTGATGCTCCAAGACCTCGATGATCAGGACGGTATCTACATTCAATACCATACTGATGGAAGCCTATTCAACCTAAGGCGACTGAAGGCCCACACCAAGAGCTTAAATCATCTTGTCCAGGAGCTGCTCTATGCTGATGACGCCGCCCTTGTTGCACACACAGAAGCAGCTCTGCAGCATTTAACATCCTGCTTTGCAGACGCTGCTGAGCTCTTTGGGCTGGAAGTCAGCTTAAAGAAGACAGAGGTCCTCCATCAACCTGCACCTCAGGAAGTCTTCCATCATCCCCATATCACCATTGGTGCATCAGTGCTTAAATCAGTTCAGCAGTTTAACTACCTAGGTAGCCTCATCTCCTCGGACGGTAAGATTGATGGAGAGATAGACAACAGGTTAGCAAAGGCATATAGTGCTTTCGGAAAGCTTCATAAAAAGAGTTTGGCGAAATAAACACTCGAAGAAAAGTACAAAGATCAGTGTTTACAGAGCCATAGTGCTGTCTACTCTCTTATACGGATCTGAATCATGGGTCATCTACCGCCACCACCTGCGACTCCTAGAACGCTTCCATCAACGCTGTCTCCATACAATCCTAAACATTCACCGGTCAGATTATATGACTAATACATCTGTTTTAGAACAAGCAGCAATCGCAAGTATTGAGGCCATGCTGCTGAGAACACAGCTGCACTGGGCAGGGCACATCTCAAGAATGAAGGACCACAGCTTCCCTAAGATCTTGCTTTATGGTGAACTTGCCACAGGCTGCCACAAGAGAGGAGCCCCGAAGAGAAGATACAAGGACTCCCTGAAGCAACATCGCAGCCTTGGCCATACTGATCAACATAACTGATCTACTCTGGCTTCCAATTGGGAGATCTGGAGACACACTATCTTTAACGCTGCTGATGCTTTTGAGAAAGCACGCAGGATCACTCTTGAGGAGAAAAGAACGCAGAAAGAATCGTGCCTTGGACAATATATATCTCCTAAGGAATCTTTCTGCTCTGCCTTTTGCAACTGGACGTGTCTATCTTGTATTGGCCTTTTTAGCCACCAACGCACTTGTAACAAATGTGGGTAGTGCCCTTCCCAAATCTTCATTCATGAAGCCTAGCCATGATGATGATGATGATGATGATGATGATGATGATGATGATGATGATACATGTAAGGTTTAAATTTAATGCATACAAAGACACTAACCAGATGACAGCATCTCTTTTAAAAAATCTGGGACTGGTGATTTTTGCATGATGAAAATATAGAAAGTTAGAAGTGTAGAAGTTTCTGTATAGGTCAGACATTTCAAGAACTGGAATCTTTCTGCCCCACTTCAGGATAAACAATCTGCTACAGTCTTATTGGGAGAAATGGTATACCCTAGTGTCTTGCTTAGCTGCCATCTCACATTCCCTAGGGGCTTGTATATCCTCTGTGACTGAGATTTGCACAGCAATGTCAAGGTTTTGGATGCTCAGTTCCCGTTATTGTTGCTGAGGATCTAATCCCTTTGTTAAGGGATGTTAGTTCTTTCTGTGGATTTTCTGTCTTTTGGCTCTGTGGTTTATGTTCTCCACCTTTCAGTATTTCCAATGAGTCTTCAGTCTGCTCTTGAAAAGGCTTTTCACCATTGGTGCTCTTTATAATCCTTCACAGAAAGCTCTTCAGTGGCTATGGGAAAGCTATTTCTTACAAAGTTGTTACACATATATCTACTTCAAAAGCCTGGAGAAGCCGTACTGAAGAAAAGCAAGCAGGAGAGGTAGCAGAACAGAAATATAGACTACTTGGATAATACCAGAGACCTCGGGACAGAAACTTCTGAGGAAGCTGCAAGGCTGTCCGAATTAGAATAAACTATTTGGACTATTTTGGCCCCTGGAGCACAGTAGAACTCCCTGACCTATAAATTTGCATCTGATCTTCTCTTTCTCAGGGATGCTCCTTCCTCATGTTATTTACACCAATATCAGAAAATAAAACAGTGCCAAGACAATTGCTTAAGCACTGGTCCTCCATCTTCCCTATTTAACTGTTTTCAGATTAAACATAAAAGAATTTAACCATGGATGCAAGGCACACAGACTTAATTAGCCTCCAAACCAGAGAACATAACCTGGCTCTTCATTCACTACAACACACAAAGCCAGTACAGGCTTAAAATCTCACTCTGTGACATTTAATCATCTTTGCAAGGTACACTTAGGACAGCTGATGAGAAGGCCTGCTGTTCTGTATTGACTTCATAGTTAATAATACATTCACATATGTGTGTCCACATGTGTGTGTGTGTACACAAAATGTTTATGTCAATGGATGGAACAGCTACGGCATTATTTTCAACCATACTCAAAAAGGCAATCCAGTACAGAGGACCAGGTTTAAGCCTTTGACTTACGACTCGTGTTTTTAATATGAGAATAATGCACTAAGAATAACCACAGACACTCACTTCTATGTTATTTCAGTTTTGTTCCGTATTTAAAATGTCCACACATCTTCACACATTTCCCTTCTTCTCACTGTCAGTCACTGAGGCTCTCAGTTACCCAGATGAAAAGGACTGACACATTCTAAATTGTAAAGGTTTCTTGTTCTGCCTTGTTGAAAGAATCTGAGGACCAACTGGAGCAAACACTTGAGAAAAAAGTCCTTGGTGCTTATACTGAGACAAACCTCCACATCTTGCTATGTATCTGCAGTCACAAAAAAACAGGGAAAAAAAGACTTCTAAAGCGTGTCCCCATATTACTAAACATTCTCTCTTTCCCCCTCTCACTGCTTTCTTCATAAACACTTATGTCCATTGGTCTCAGAGAATTAACAATTTGTAATATTCCATAGTGTTAGAATCAGCCATCTTAAGAACAGTGGTGGTAAATCTTCCTAAAAGTTTTAAATTTTCCCTTCTGCATATATAGAAGAAGCTGTAATAGCAGCTGTAACAGAGTGTGTTCCGCCTCACTTCTTTTCAGCATTTCTTGAAAACACAGACACACACACACATAGATACACACAGTTGTCTCACAACTAACCTGCACAGTATCTACACAGGACTGCCATGAGCACACTGAATGCTTTCAAGCACATAAGCACATCATCCAGTGATGCCTGGAGATCATGATGAAGATTTAACTTTCAAGCCTTCTAAAAATACTTTTTTGGGCACCACTGCATACCTGCTTTAAATGCCAAGTTCTCATAGTCAACACAGAACTGAGCACAGAGTTTTATGTTCATTCACTCTCCAAAAAAAAAAATAAATTTCTTTTTTACCTAAAGATACCTTTTGAAATCTTCAATGATACTTGCTGAAAGGGCACAACCTTTCTCTCAAAAATCAAATTAAATCTAGCACTATCTTACATTAACCAATGAGTGAAGTCAATGAGTTTCCATACAACTTGAGGTGCAATTGGATTTGTATTTCTGTGAATCACTGGTCAGTCCTTTTAAACACAAAACAAAAAAACATATAAAACATTCCTTACTATGTAAAAGCTAAACAAACTTGCCAGAATTTAATTGCACAAAAGGATTTTGAAACCTAATTTTCTGACTTCACCTTGGGATTACCTGGATATAAAAATACAATAAAAATACATCAATAAAGCGTGACATATAAAAATGCTATTCATGTTCAAAGATGAAGAAATCATATTTCTACTGTTTCATATCCTATACAATCTTGTTGACTTCCAAATGCTTCACACCGTTGTGCACGATTTTGCCCCACACACTGTAAGAGCACCATGCAGTAGAAACACAGTGCAGAAGTGGTTGCATGCTGCCTGCTGTATCTGATATTGCTGATACTTTTGACAGGAACATTTATTAGACCATGTTAGCAGCAGACAAGAGATTCCCTCTGATACTCGTAACTGTCTTCAGCAGACTGACCATATGTTGTAGACATGTCGAATAAAGCAGCTATAAAATATCCGCCACATGAAATCACTTGCTACTTTCTGAGAAATTATTACAATCATGGCTTGAGAATGATCAAAGAAAGAAAAAAAGGGGCCACCATTTTAAAAACAGTTAGAATGAGACCATGTCCTACATGAAAAGCACATGGAGGTGAAGTGGGGTAGTCTGACTTCAAATTCCAGGAATAATCTCCCTTCTCTTCACCTCTCCACTACAGTCTATCTTGGGATTACTGAAATCAGTAGGATTTTTTATAATTTATTTTACAAAGGGAAATGAATTTTTCAGTTGTTCTGATGTGTCCAGGTCTTTTGAAACCAACATCTAAGTACTTATACTAACTCATAGTTTTAAAAAGCCTTTTATGGAAGAGCAAGAGAGAATAAACATTACTAATTCACCTCATAAGGCAGCCATAGTAGTCATGGGGAGCTGCAATGATTTTGTAGTCACAGGGTCCTGGGCTGCATCAGTGTGGTGGTATGGCACGATTTTGCCTCTCACTGCCCTTTAAGTAAAACCACTGATTTTTAACAACTATTTTTGTATAGAAAATACCCATTTCATAAGTCTGCAAACACCAGTTTAGAAACTTCACACAGTTTTCTTTTGGGACTTTGTAACTTTGACATTCATTACCCTCTTTGAAAACACAGAGATTAGTTATATATAAAACCAAAAAAGTCACCTTCCTAACTCATACTTATGATGTTCCAGAAAAATTATAAAACTTCAAACGGATTTCAGATTAGCATCACAATAATATGGTGGGATCCAATCCCAACTGTTCTGTATTTTTTAAACCAATAGAATGTCATACTTAACATTTAATTGTTCTTTAACTAAATAAATACAATTATGATTTTGCTGTAATCTTTCTGAACAAGTTGAGAAATATACCTCATACCTACCCATGCATTTGTGCAATTACTGATGGGGTTGTTGATGGAAGATTAGAATTTCCCGGGTGAGTTGCCGATCAATGAACCTTGCCACTGTATCCAGGGATAGTTGGAGTGCTAAAGAAAACAGTTAAAGGGGGGTGGGAGTGGAGAAAGGGTAAATTAAATGACTAGAGGCTTGAAATATAACTTATGGGTCAGTTCTGAAATGGTTAGTGTTTATCAAAGATGGATGGGGTAAAAGCTTTTCATAATATAATCCTTAGTCCTTAGATTGTATCAACTGGTATAGCTTCTTTATGGTCAGGGAAACAACTTTATGATGATCTAGCTGAAAATCTCTGGTTAGACATGGTGAAAGTGATTTCTTTAGAGACTTTTTTTTTTCCCAATTAGTTTAGGTTTAATATCTGTATGATATTCATGATTACAAGCAACATTCAATCATAAAAAAGAAATGGAGTCACAGGGTTTGCAGAGACCACAAAAAGTAAGAAAATATACTTTAAAAATGTAATAGAGATTTAGCTCATATTTAGTTTCCACCTTCAGCATGGAATTTAGATAGCAGGCTTTATGCCAACAAGTATGATTTCTCATAAGTTAAACCACAAATGGTTTTCCAAATTATTCTACAGTTCTCTAAATTTCCCCTAGAATTTATTAAGTTGTAATATTAACAACACTGCTAAGACATATCTACTTAAATTCTAGTTCGAGTGCACCAGTGGACTGAGACAGTAAGTGCCACATCTTGGAAAACTAAAGCCTTTTGTTAATTCTAAAGCTAAGTTTTAGTGTGAAGATGAAAAGCAGAGTTCCTTAAAGAGATGGAGTAAAAAAATTCTACTTATCTGAGGTAGCATAACAGAAAATTTCGATAACTACTGCAAGATGAAGTGAAGATGGACAAAATTAAAGAAAAAAAATAGGTACTAATATGAATTCAGACAAATAATCCATGAATATTAGAAATTAAAAAAACCCATAAATTCCCAATATGGTACTTTTTTTGCAGCTCAAAGTTATTCAGAGAGTATCATCAATATTGTTCTATACTGACAGCTAAAGATAGGACACTGTTGAAGTATACAGACACAGATTGCCCATACACATGGAGATAAAGGCTCATGACTGGTTGTTGCATCCACTGAATCGACTAAATATTTGGCATTATACACCTTGTCTCCATTAGTCCCTTGTGGGTCTTCAGACTGTATAAATAATAACAACGCCTCCTTTAAAATAATTTCTGAGGTACTTTTTTAGTTCCCCTGTACTCTGGGTAAAAATAAACAGTTCCTTTGATTATAAAGTACTACTAGTTTCATACAGCTGATCAGCTACTTCTCTGCAATTAAGTTCAGCATAGGATGCAAAAATGGGCATATGTGAGTGATGTGGTTTATCAGACTTTATGTATCTTTGACTTGAGTACTAGGAAACTTGGTTCTGAAATTCCTCCCCAGAATAGCAGGGGTAGTGACAAAATGCTGTATCTACTAACCAGGGTTATAACAAAGGACTGTGGGTGAACTGTATTTGCCATGGGAGCATTGGGGGTATATGTTGTAGTCTTTGTAACCATAGTTAGCAAAAGCACCATCTAGGTCTTTGTCTTATTTTGGAGTAGCCTTGCACTAACCCATACATTCATACACTGCTATGCTCCCTGGGCCATGCTCCAGCATACGACCCTCCAGAGAAGATGGCTTTGTAGAATCAGTACAGAAGTTTTGCAGCACTTGGTGAGATGTTGCCTATAGGGAATCACCAATTATTTGGCTGAGGACCTAACAAATCTACTGTCTGTCTTGACAGCAGCCACACAGGCACAAGTAGGCTTCAAAATCTAGTACATAGTAGAACATATTTGCAGAATTGGCCAAAATTACTTGCATCCAAGTTTGCTTTTTCATGTCAAAGCAGACAATTGTTAGGTTATGTGCAGATTAGGTCACTCTGTAGGAAATTTCTTCTGCATATCAGGATCCCACCAAGGGACACAATGGATACTAGGTGGCTGTGAGTACAAGCACATGCATCCATCCAAACCTGAAAACATACCTGCTATCACCTTGAAGGAATCAGTCAGACTCTGAAAACAGTTTTATTACCCTGGTGATGGGATACATCCCAAGGTACATCTCTCCCATGTCATGGAATTCCACTGACTTGAAATTGTATGGATGTCACACAGAAGAGAAGCAAATCACAACAAGAAGCCCCATATTAACTTGCAATATTTAATAAGCCTATTTGAAGTTAACAAACATAATAACTATACAACTGTGGCGATATTAGAATATACTGTGAGGCATCTGCTTGACAAAAACTTCTCACCTTTAAAACTTGCAAAAGTAGAAGAGAAGACAAAAGCATCAGAAATGTCCAAACATGACCCAAAAGTCTGTCTGAGAGAAGATACAAGATGAAGATTTGTTGTAGACTGTCTGTTAGAAGCAATTGACAGAAGTTGGTACATTGATAACACATGGGATGGATGTAGATCTAAAAGAGAAGAGAGGTGGGCATGGAGAAGACAAAAATACCAGGAAAGTAAGTAAGCTTACACTAAAGTAAAGCAGCACTGCTCTCCTGGGAACATGCAAAGAAGATGCAAAAATGTGCTGTGGTTATGTAGGTGACAAGGCAGAAGAAACTGAGGTTCAAAAAATACTCCCCTGGGTTTTTGTTTTTTTGAATCATGCTGTCTAGCTCTTGTGTGCTTTCTCTGATGAGCTGCTAAACCATACTGCTGCTGCTAAAGAAAACAACTAAGTACCAAGCTACCACTGGGCAACGCATAAAACTCCTCTGTGGTTATGCTGTCGTCATCAAGCTTTCTTTCTCTAACCATGACATCTCTCTTGCTCATGCACTTCCTTGTTATCGTCCTAGCAGCTCTTAGTCCTGACAGTGAGAAACATATAGTGTTGACAGTTGAGTCTGTGTAAGCACTAAGATTTTCAATTGGACTGTAGTGATTCTGAGTGCCTCTGCTTTGGTGTGACTCTGTTTTGTGTGCCCATAGAGTCATAGAATCACTAAGAACTGAAAAGACCTCTAAAGTCACCGAGCCCAATTGTTAACCCAGCACTGCCAAGTCCAACACCAAACCATGTCCCTCAGTGCCACATCTATATGTTCTTCAAATATCTCCTGGGATGGTGACTCAGCCAGCCTGTTCCAGTGCTTGACAACCCTTCCCATGCAGAATTTTTTCCTAATATCCAATCTAAATCTCCTCTGGTGCAACTTGAGACCATTTTCTCTTGTCCTATTGTTTTTTACCTGGTAGAAGGGACCAAGCCCAACTGCCCCTCATCTAGTTTTCGGGCAACTAGATAAGATCCTCTCTGAACCTCATTTTCTCCAGGCTAAACAAGCCCAACTCAGCTCCCTTAGCTGTTCCTCAAAAGACTTGTGCTCCAGACCCTTCAGCAGCTCCATTGCCCTTCTCTGGCCATGCTCCAGCACCTCAGTACTGCTTCTTGGAGTGAGGGTCCAAATCTTGAACACAGGATTGGAGGTCCAGCCTCACCATAATGGGATGTCTTTGAAGACTTTTATTTCCTGGTAATGTTCAGGAAAAACAGTGTGAACTTAATTTAGTTGGCCCTCCATACTGATATTTAGAGCTATATGAGATGCCTTAAGGTATCTGAGATAATTCCCTATAGCACAGGATTCGCAGGAGATACATATTTTTCTGAAGCTGCAGCTGGTAGTGATGGTCTAGGGTGCCTCTAGGTTATTGGATGCCTAGGTTTGCCATGTAAATTCCGCATCAGCTGTATTTCAGGGAGCAAAATCAAGATTCCCTCAACCTTGGATCTAGCACTTCAGCTTGAGCAACGGAGGTATCCAAGTCCTTTGCGCAAAAATTCTGTCAGGTGAAAGGAATACGGTAGAGTTCCTAACATTTTACTCTTTCTTATAAACACTCCTGTATAAATATCATAGAACTAAATCACCATATTAAGTTATTAACTAGCTCTTCTTGTTACTGTAATTATAAAATAGGCCTCTCAGATCTCATTTCCAGTACGTAAGACTTGTAACTGACTTCCACCTTAAATTCCCTTTCAGGAAGACTGACATGCCACATGTTTGTGGCCCTTCTTGATCCTATTTATCTCCATGATCCTACTTGCTAAACAGAATAACCTGTGATAAAAATGCCTCAGACATGATCCTGTTTCAGGAAACTCAATGCATACACTCTCTTTTGTCGGGAAAGACTACACCTAAGAATATTTGTAAAGTTAAACCAAAGTGCTTCATGCAGAGAATGGGACTGACAGGATTTTTGAGCAGTGCATTATAAGTTGCATTTCATATCCTTCTCCCTCAGCCATCAACACAGGATAGGGAATGGGTACTTATAAACGGATTTGGGGTTTCTAAAAGAATAAAACCATCAAAATGGTAACTCCCTGGGAAAATTTTGAATCTTGTTGACCTGATTTTGTTTCTACAATTTCAAACTGTTTTATTCTGCTTTCAACTTTTTCAGCCCCCCATTTTTAGTATGGGATAATAATTTTCAGAAACAGTAAAGCATTTCAAGCCAGAAATAAAATCTCATTTGAAAAATGTCAGAGTAGGATACATCAGCACACCCCTGCGCTCTGCCTCAAGCTCACCGATGAGTCAAACTGGAAAACAACTAAAAAGGCATCCATGCTGGACAAGCTATCATTTTCTGAAGAAAAGATACATTGTGAGAAAGCTCTTAGGCAGCCCATGTAAATGACTGTGCAAGGTACCACAGGGTCCTCTTCCCAGCTGATTGTGCCTGTGAGGTTTTTATGATAACTTGAAATTATAAGGGATGCATGCACACAGTCAATTGGAGAATGACTACACTGAAGAAATATGACCAAAGTCACTACAGATATACTGATGTGATAGTAGCATTTTGCTCTATGTGCTTGAGAAACCATGATTAAAGGGGAGTTTCAGAGAATGGCTTTGTGCAAGAACTGCAGGACTTGAAACACTTACGACTTTATCTTCTTAGAAACCATATGTATTAAGTTCCCATTTCAATCAAGTGCTTTTGGTCAGACCCCATCCACTCTCTGACACAGACAATCTCTGTGGGCTTGAAC